TCTAAAGAAACCTAATGGAGTAGTGTTGTTGACATCTGTATAAAACTCAGTTTAGGAAGTAGTCTTGATTCAGATGGGTAAATTTTTGTTATGGCATCAATTAAGTTGTATATTGAGAGTAGGTATATTTATATTCTTTTGATAAGTAAAATGACCTTATCAAGGAAGCACTCAAGAACTTTCAACTACTGCAAGTACACATATAATTACAGAAATTTGATCTATATATACTGTATACAACACATTCCTGAGGGAATTAGCATAAAAGATGCTCAACAGTAGTTCAGTGTCCATGCCCTTCTGGTATATTTTTATTTTTTTTCCCTATTGTTAGTGGTTTGAGGGTTAAAATCAACTTTTCATTAGTCAATTGTCAGTCTGCAGATAGTTGACAAGATAATTAAGATTAAGATGACCATATGTGCCACATGGTGGGCAGTTTCTCTTTAGGTTTTGTCAAGCTGTTCATTCACCATTTTTTGTGGTGATATTCTTTAGTATTAGTATTTCATGGTCTGTACCAAATTTTGATTTTTTTTTTTTTTTGGGTGTGATTATTAAACTTTCATGACAGAAAAGTTGAAGAAGAAACGAGATATCTTTTGAGGGTCTGTATGGATTAGGTGTTTTTACGGGTGTTTTGTGAAAACTTTAATGTAGCTTTGTATATTAAAAACTCACTGTAGATGTATATTGGGGGTGTTTCTAAAATTTAAAATTTTATTGGGGTATTTTCAAAATTTTCCTCCCTACCTCAAAACCACCTCCCACCCCCTCTCCATCCCCCCTCCCCTAGCCACCATCAGCAGGCTGCAGCACTACCCCACCACCACCTCCACTCCCCTCCTTTCTCCTCCCTCTTCCTCTTAGACTGGTCACGACCAAATCTGGTCATCGCAACCAAATCTGGCCACGGGCAGGGAGGGGAAGGAAGGGGAAAAGGAGGAGGAAGGAGAGAGGAGGAGGGGGGAAGAGTAGGTAGTGGTGCAGGTGGTGGAGGTGTTGCTGGTCGAGGCATTGGCATTGGTGCTAGAGAGAGGAGGGTGGGGTGGTGGTGGGGAAGGAGGGGAGAGGAGAGGAGAGGAGAGATGGTGGTGGTGGGTGGAGAAGAATAAGAGGTGGCAGTTTTTTTTTTTTTTTTTTTGTTATGAGTGTTTTTGGTAGGTGTTTATGAGATGGTATTTGAAGTGTTTTTAGATGTGTTTTGGGAAAAGCTTCCAATTTAAACAGACCCTTTGTTTTTTCAGATATTGTACGATTTGCCCATACTTTCTGTAAAATGATGAGTTTTTAATTTCAATTGTATATCCACCTACTGAAATCCTAAGGTAATGATCTGTAGGCTGCTGAGATTCTGGCAAAGGAGGGAGTCAGTGCTGAGGTACATTAAAATTGCAAGTTCTTCCATATTCTAATAAGCAGTGTGGTAACAAGACGAAAATGTACTTTGTTGTGTTAAAAGTTTTGTTCTTTCAAATTGCAGGTTATAAATTTGCGCTCAATCCGGCCACTTGATAGAGCCACAATCAATACTTCTGTTAGGAAAACGAACAGGCTTGTGACTGTTGAAGAAGGGTTTCCACAACATGGTGTTGGGGCTGAGATCTGGTTGATTTTCTTTTTTGTTATCTTTCTTTCAAACCTTTCTATTGTGCATCTACTTCTCTTTTCTTGATATGTGTTTAATTATCTCATTGTCCATTTCATCAGTGCATCTATTGTTGAGGAGAGCTTTGAGTATCTTGATGCACCTGTTGAAAGAATTACAGGGGCTGATGTTCCCATGCCTTACGCAGCCAATCTTGAGAGAATGGCTGTCCCACAGGTTTGTTCTTTCTGAACTTCTTTCTCCTTTTGCAGCTTCACATTTTTTAGCTAAAACTTCAGAGGTTACTATGGGTTATGCATGCTTTAAAGGGAAGAAACAGTTGTAGACGTCATTCACACTTCCACATACAGAATGGATTGAATATATGCTTGTGTAAAAGAATCAGACATTAAAGATGAAAGTGAGAAGTCTTAACATCAAAAAGAAAATAAAAGGATGACAAAATAATCACCTTGTTTTTTGTGTTGTGCGTTGTATATGTAATATTCAACTCCACAATGAACAGGGTGTTTCAAGTGGTACTGACTTCTGCTTGGCATACTTTTATTTTTTTTAAGCTATGTCTCTACATTGTCTTTTAGTAAGTCTACTTTCTGAAATTCGTCATTATCTATCTGCGTGCTTTTACTTGGGGGTTCCCTCCAAACAGGTTGACGATATTGTACGTGCAGCAAAGAGGACCTGCTATAGATCAGTTCCAGTGGCTGTAAATGCCTAAGCTGCTGGATTACAAAGCTTTCTTGCGATTGTTTTTCACGGTTTTTTTTCATCGATTGAACAACGAGTCTTTTGAACCAAATCTTGATGCAGCTGTTTGGAGTCTGGAACTCTCATCTTCCTGGTGCAACTGGATTAACTAAACTAATCTGTTCATACTCGGAAACATTGCAATAAACGTGCACGGCATCATAGGTCTAGTATTTTTTTGACTTTCCTGCATTCACTGCTGGAGGAGAATATCTTGTTTTGCGAAACATTGAGGGGAGCAAGTCATTTCTTATGTGTTCTTCTGTACATTGTATGGTGTTATTTCTATGGAAAGCCAACTCATTTACATTTTTGCAGTCGTTGCATCATTGGTTTATTTAATATATATACGTGTCAGTGCAGCTACTTCTTGATCATTGGTAATTGTCACTCTTATTGATATTGGTTAGAAAACCATGCAAATAAAGGGTTGATATAGCTAACATACAGATGCAATATTTACATTTCTCTTCTATACTTTAAATCCCTGTGTTGCTGCTTAAAGTACATGGTAGGTGAGATGACATATATCTTGTCATCATGCATTTTTGTGTGAGAATAGCAAGCCCTGCATGATGTTGAATTGACTGGCCACGAGGAGCAGATTCAAGTATGGCTCCAGGAGCCCAAGAAGATCATAGTCCTGATGGGATCTTCGATAAAGGAGCGCTGGTTTCGTCTTTCATGTTCCTGGATTATGTTATTTCGGCCACCATCTCCCATCGAAGTTTGACCTGCAGCCATTTTCCCCAGAGCTTTCTCATAAACTAACCTTAGCTTCTCTTGTATGGTGACTGTTCTCTTCGAGTCACGACGATTCATCAAAGAGTCATGATGGTGATGATGATCACCAGAGAATTGTTGAGGTTTCATCCTCAATTCTCTAATTGCAGGTTAATTGGCCAAGTCTACATAAGAAAGATATAGTGAAGCGAACTGAGAGGACTTGACTACAAATTTATAGAGAGGAGAGGCTTCTGAGCCTTGTCCAAGCAATGTTGTCTATTGGTCTTTATTCTCGAGCAAAGAATAAAGAACCTCAAATGTATTGCCACTGGCATAATTGTCACGTTGTAGGTGGTGGGGTTAGGAGGTTCTCTCAGTCTCCTTGCCTGCAGCCATTAGTATTAAGCATCACGACTGAAATATTCCCAAAGTTGTGGACGACAGTCGAGATTCCAACCACATTATTAGCTCGAAAAGTAATTATGGAAGCAACTGCCATCCCCAGCTGTGTTTTCCTTTCAGCGACCTTCTTCATCACAGTTGCAACCAACACATTTACTCATATTTCTACTACTATGACTGGTTGTTGAAAATGACTCATAGTCTTTAAATCTACAAAAGATGTTAATAAAACTTTAGTCTAATAGTTAAGATTGAGGTCCCAAGGCCTGTACTTTTGGTTCAAGTCTCGCTAATGTTAGACTCCTCTCCTACTTTATGTGATTAGTTTGTAGCTATGTTGAATTGTAATTTCTTTCATTTGTGAGCATGGTTCAAAGACTCGGCCGTCACCGGAACGGAGCTCTCGGATACGATATCGAAACGAGATAATTTCAAGATAATGGATCAATGAGAACTTGGCCGACACATCTCTGAGACGGATAAGAACGGTTGAATTGTCCTGAATCATTTCAAGTCAACTTAAATTTTTATTAGTTTTACTAATTTTTTATTATTTTTGTTTATCATTTTTTTATATTATTCACAATTTTTAGAATATTAAATGTTTTAAAATTTACGTCTCGCCGACATGTCGAAATCGATGTGGAACGGTTTAGACCACGATCGCGATTGCAACCGCAACTTTGAACCATATTTGTGTGAGTTAGTTTGAGTTTGTGATTTATTTATATTAATCCCACTATTGTGGATTCTTGTAATCTTATCACAAAACTACAGAAGATGAGTTGTTCAGATAAAGAATCAGATTCGTGCGATATGTTACATCAGAAAAAGAAGAAAAATTCTCGCAGTAACGTCATGTACAACCTTTGCTGTCATATTCACCTTTGCCTCTAAAGAACATCCCCAAATCTCTGATTTCGTGCACGTATTGTTTTCAATCGAAGCTGCAGATTCAATCAATTGCTAATTCAAATTACAAACTTTACAAGAGATAATCTAAACAAACTCAAGGGAAGGCTCCCATAAAAGTATGCGAATAATGCGATTCTACTGATCTCAATGCATAGGATAAAGATCAGTATTTGGCATCCTTGTTACAAGCATACCTGCGGCATACGATTACAGCAATGAGAATAAAAATACATGTCACATGAGCACTCTATCTTGAATGTTACAAACGGAGTCCATGCCAAGGGCTTGGCAACCTGTGACCAAAATTCGTTGCCAAAATGTTTCTCCAGGTCTTGTATCAATCCCTGTTATTTGTTACTATATCTGCCTCAGCCCTCTTGAGATCAAGAGATATCAAAGCATATATCCTGCCTTTTAGCATCTTCTTCCATCGTCCCATCTCTTGAAGAAAACTCACAAATTAGGGAAGATAGCAAAGATTCAAGCCGCTAGCTCGAGGGCGTTTCTTGACTTCTGAATTAGCATAAATCAAACACTCAACTGTACTACAGCTAAAAATTAAAATGAGGATCAAGGTGATGAAAAGACAGCAAGATACAAGTTTTTATCCCCACAAGAACTTTCCCAAGCCAAAGAAAGATGTGTGTATCTGAATTTGGGGAATCATTACATAGGAAGTAACTACAAGTAAGTGAAGGCCCAAGCTCTGAAACTTTACAAGAAGCACTATTAACTGTACAAAAACGAGGGGAATTCAATAGAAAATTTTACTCATAATTTCTTAGATGTTCCTTTTGAGAATTTACAAAAGCGCCTCCAATATTGCAAGGCTCAAAAAATGGATAAAAAAAATGAAGAGCGAAAAAAAAATAAAATTAAATGCCAGAAAAAACACTTTGATCCACAAAACCTTTTTATTTCTTATGCATACTCTACTTTTGGCGACCAAAAATCTCTGAAGCTGATTCCTTCTTGAACCTTAGATCCATTGATAACCTAACTGTAGATGGAAGGAAGGCATTAAAAATTCCTCGAGAAGGCACCATCTGAGGTTCTTCTTTCTTAATTCTCCTCCTGGACGGTCCACCAGTTGCTGCAGTATTCTTAAGAGATCGAGATGACTTTGGATCAAAAATTGATGAATTAAAAGAATTGTCAGCCACATTAAACGATAAAGGGCCATTATTGGAGTTATCGAGAGGGTATCCTACTGCCGCATCCTGATGAGGAGGTGGAAATTTTTCGCTTTTGCTCTTAGCATTTGCTTCTGTCATCATTCTCCACCTCTGCAGATAAGTAAGTAATATAAATGCCGGGTAGAAAAAATGGGTAAATGATGGATAAACTCATTAAACCTAGAAGCAAACACCTTGTCTGAAATTTTTATGTCAGGATGAAAAAAGAAACAAAAAAAGACTCAAGATAATTTCCTACTCAATTCTTTTTGGCAAAATTACTGTTAGCTAGGCAAGCGGGATCATATGGAAAACTCAAGAAACCACAAATGAAGGGGAACCTAAGATTTAGAGGTGACTGTGCCTGTTACTTCAAAGCCAGTGGTGCAGAACCAGATGAGGACTGACTTGACAAGACATTAGAAAATGGCAATTTCCATTCTATGAGCTAGACTAATAGAGAGCAGAATCAACTTAAGCAGGCTAATATTCAGTTTTAAGGGAAGTAGATACTGTTTTCCTTACATCTAAATTTGCTTGATTCTCTGCATTAGCTTCTGGAGCTGGAACAGCTCGACTAATCCGGTCACGAGCTCTCACTCTTCTCGCACCATCTACAGCATGTGGTTTCCCACTTAAACCTCTTTGCCTAAAAACACCTTCAAGTTAGTATATACATAGAGCAGTAGGAAAATTTCTGAGGATAGGATGCAAAAGTACCTCCTGGCTTCTTCATCTCTCAATTTGAGGTCAATTTCCTTGCTCGGAGGATACTTTGGCAAGCTTAATGGGTTGCAGGCAAAAGGTTCAGTAGTAAAGAACTGAAAAAAAAAAAAGGAAAAAAAAGCGTAAAAAGCTGTCTGAATGTATCCATATTGCCGTGAATGTCAGATGCCAACTAACATTGAACTAACATATAAACTCCTCAAGGATAGAAATGGCCACAAAAAAAGTGATACAAAAGCCAAAATGCTAAAAGAAAATATAAAGAGGAACAGGTAATAAGAAAGTCAATCAGAAACAGAAATTATACACTCACAATTTTCTTGCATGTGTACATGTAAAATGAAGTTCAAAAGATGAAACAAGATACCCTGAAGTAATATGCATATATTTGATTGTACTGAGTGATAAGTCACTGCCAAAACCTATTAGAAGTATTTCCCTTCATTCATCTTCAGGTTTCTAGAAGATCAAGGAAAAGATACGGTCCATTTCCCTTAAACACCTCCATTCAGAATTTGATAATACTGAAGAAAAGGAGTACAGCAGACAGTAAAGATCAGCTTTAGATATTGTTAAAGAGAAGTTTTCCACCGATGAAGCAGTTTGCATCTAGCAATGTCAGGTTTGTGTTTTAGAGAGGAAAGAAGGTCACTATCCCAGCAATATACTCAAAAGGTGGCCAATGAGGCTCATCATTGGACTGGATAACTTCATAAAAGCAACAATGTTCTGTCAATTATGTTTGCTGTCTAAGACCAGATAACTCAAAGGGCTATAACAGTCCAAGAATCAAAATTGCAGGCCAAGAAAGAGAACAAAGGATGCTAAAGTTAATGCAGTAGGATGATGACCAAGTAACTATGACTTCAAAGACCACCAACATTTGGAGAACATTCAACATATAGTTCATTCCCCTTGGACCCTTCATGATTAATTTACCTAATGCACTGCTTGCCTATCATTGACTAGAGCAATAGCCAGCCCCAAACATAAGTCATACATAGCTGACTAGACTAATAGCTGAATACAAATATAACTTTGAGACACATATATGAAGCAGTTAGATGAGCAACCTCTGTAACTAGATATTTCTGCTTTTTGCGAAATACTTACATTTTCCTAAAACACATTATTTTCGCCAAAACAAATTACCCCAAAAACACAAATACCATTTCCAGAAAAAAGTTTTACTTCCCCTAACCTTAATCTTTCGTAATGTACTCGTCCTTGCGCCCCTCGAACCCAGGCCTCATGAGCTTCTTCTCCCTTTTAGCAATCTTCCTCATCTTTTTATCCCTAATCCTCCCTTCAATGTTCTCCTTCCTCTTCTGCTGCTTCCCCTCCTTAGCCTTCTCCTGGCCCTCAATCCTCTCCTTCCACTTCTCTGCATTCTTTTCCTTCCTCTTCTTCTCCTTCTTCATACTCTCCCTCAACAACCTTGGATCGTCATGCACCTTCACTCCCATTGCCCTATTCTCAGCTGCCCTCCACCATTCCCTCTCTGCTACCCTGGGATTCTCTTTCTTGACCTCCTCCAACCGCTTAGCTCTATCCAACTCCTTCACCTTCGACATTTTCCTCTTCTTTTTCCTCTTCTCCCCTTCCATCTCATCGTCCCTATCTTCACTTTCCCATACTCTATTATCTCTTCACTGTCATTTTCCACCACTTCAACACCCTTCCCACTGCTCCCTTCACCATCCCTCTTTCTCTTCTTTTCTCCTCTATGATTATCTCTATCCTTATTATCCTCCCTCCCCTTCCTAGCACTCCTATTCCCTCGCCTCGATTCCCGCGTAACGACTCAATCTTTTTCCTCAATTTCTCACGCAATTCTTCGTAAGTAACCTGCTTTTCTTGACCCTTTTCACCATCATTACCATCCCCACCATTCTTCTCCTCTAAATCAATAGCCCTCGGGACGTCTTGCGGGGGTATTTCAGCAACCTCACCGCCATGGGCACTGGTGTCCAGGGATTGTTTGAGAAGGTCGAGGGTGGAGGAATGGGAGATTTTGTCCGGGTCGAGGCGGTTGCGGCGGGCAAGTTTGAGGTTTTGCTTGGATTGGCGTTTGAGGGAAGCTTTGGCAGCTTTGGAGAGGCCGTGGAAGTAGGGCTTGGGGTTGTCAGAAACGTCGTCATCAGGTGGGAGGTAGAATCTTGCTGGGATGAGTTCGATTAGCCTGTCGAAGAAGTCGCTGTGAGATTGAATTAGGGCTTTGAGATCGGCCGTAGAACGTGTAGGAATAAGAGCTGCGGCCGACGAGTCGGTCGTCTTCTGGTTCTTCTTCTTCATTCTATTTGTCTGAGAGCGAGCGAGAGGACCGGGAGGAAGTGAATGAGTGTGTGTTAGGGTTTATGTTTTCTGTTTAAAATGGAGAGGGAAGGAGGCCGAGGGGGGTGGGGGGAAGGCGCTGACGTGGCCTGAGGTTGATTTTGCGCCCTTCCCATCACTCCTTTTCTAAATACTAGGAGGGATCACCGCGCATAGCGCGGTGGGTGAAAGCAGTGATGCACAGTGATGCCCAGTTGAATAATTAATTTTGTAAAATTAGTTAATTCAAAGAAGAATCAATGCATTAACACTGATCGTGGGGTAGTGGTTGCTTGGTTTAGCTAAGAAGAAGTGGAAACTACCAGTAATGTATTCAATCGATAGGTAAATTACACTGCACGGTTCAGCTAAATTCATTAAGCATCCGAATAAATATTGAATGTGTGATACCAAGGAAAATATTTTTCAACTCCGGTATCATCGAAGATTAAAACTGTAAATATATTTTCAGATTCCGGAACAAAGACCAGAGTTTCATTGTGTTGCAATTGATGTTGAAGAACGAAATCTCTCCAGTTTCGATGAAGGCGTTTATGCTTTACAGCAATTTGAGTAGTTTTTTGTCCAGTGTTGATAAGTAACATGGGAGTCTTGATATCATTGATGAAGTGATCAACAAAGCGCGGAATATTCTATCATCAAAAGGTGCAGATTAGAAGATATGCAGAAACAAAAGGAAATTGCTTGCGAGAAAGTTGAGATGAAAAAAGAGAATGCAGGTAAACATAGAATAGCTTACCAAGCTGTTTGGAGTTGCGGAGTTAAAGATTTGATAAAAGCACACTGAATCAGATAGATCTTGACAGAAATCTGGTCTTAGCGAGGAAGTAACTTGCTGGTGTGTAGCGGCCATGTGGATATCATCTGTCATCAAATGACTGTGTTACATTAAAATAATATACTATATAGATGAGGATATGAGATAGGTACAGCGGTATTTTGACCTCTTGATGCAATGGCATTCATGTGCAATAGATCTGGTAGGGGGGCGGTCCAAGGCAGAAGAACTTGTTTTTGTAGTTCACAAAAGTGAATAACATCAAATATCAGATTCCCGCTATGTCGTTTGCAGTCTGAGAAGAGGGAGCAGAATGGACGCGAGGAATAAAAGGAGCGGATTCATGAGAGGACATATATTGTAATGCCTCAGTAATGACAGCAGCATTGTCATTACCGCTCTTCAAGGCCTCGGCTCCTAAGATTTCACTATGCATAGAAGAGTGATTCGCACCATCAAGGGTTTCATGATGCGAATCAGGGAAAGAAACACCCGATTCCATATAACCCAGTGGAACCTTACGAATACGTGGGAGTAAATGCGCATTCTTTTTCTTGGCAGCTCTATTTTCTTTCCGGCGTTGCAGAAGTTGCATTTTTTTCGAAGATGGCATTTCTGCGTATTTTTTGCGGCGAGTAGCATTTCCATCCATCATTTTTTAGTAAGAGCAAAAAATGTCGAAGGACTATATAAAGAAAGGAATGTCTAACTTAGCAAAAAAGAATGTAAATCGAAAACTGGCAGAAAGCAGAGCAGGCAAAAAACAAGCGAACACAAAGAGATGAAGGAGTTAATAGCGGCAGCCGAGCAAAGAACAAATGCTTACATAAAAAATAATCAGGCATGTAAGTATAGCAGCAGAAACAATAGAATAACACGTATATGCAAGAATAAGGATCACAAAAGATACAGGAAGTCAAAAAGTCACAAACTAAAAAAAGGAAAAGCTGGAGCAGGCCATAAGTGCTGATGCATCAGAAAATATATCCCAAAGATGCACAAATTAAGGATAAAATATAGAGAAAAGAGCAAAACGAGAACAAAATCAGAAGAGCTAACCTGTGAACACGAAGAAGCTCAACACCGCAGAAGTGAATAGCAGCAGAAACTATCAAAGAAATGGCAATCATGTAAGAGGTCATAAGAAAAGGTGAAAAAAATGGGAGAGAAAAATAGAAGCTAATTCGGTGATAATAATTTAGAAGGGGCAGACAAAAAAAGAGGAAAAATAGTTGAACCAGTGCATTAGAAAGCCGAGAAGCAAGGAAGAAATAAAAAGCAAAGCAGCCTGATAGCAATCTTTGAAATATATAAACAGTTAAAGAACAACAAATTAAGCCGAATATAAAACCAACATGCTCACAGGAAAGCAAAAACGACAGCACCAGTGCAAATTAAAACCAAACTGATAAATTAGGGAAAATGAAGGTTCAAAACAGCCAAAGAAAACGAAGAACAATCGGTATGAGGTAGTTCCCTCTGGCTAACAAAGAAACAAGAGTTTTAGAATAGAGAAAAGAATGCAGCGGGTGCACAATTACCATTGTTCATGATGATGCTCAGTAGAAAATCCGCCGCGGAAAACCAGAGAAACTCTGTATCCATTGTGCAAATGCAAAACACCAAACAGTGTCAATCAACCGCAGCAAAAGGAAGCTGATGGTAGACAATGGCGAAAAATGACGGTTGTTTATAGATTTACAAACATAACCTCAAGTAAAGGACAAAAGGCGACAAGGTCCATGGAGTGGAATCGTAAATATAGTCACAAGGGATGGGTAATATAGAAAATTAAGGTAGCAATTAATCAGGTCAAGTACAGTCACTTGTCGGCAGAAACAGGCTGGTGACAAGTAGTGACTGATGAGGAACTCGAGAAAGCTTGCTCTGGAACTAAACAAACAAGATGCAGGCTTGTTTGTAAAAATGAGTCAATCAGATTAGCAATAAGGAGTTTGGTTACGACAGGAAAAGTAACGAAAGAAAAGAATAAGACAAGCATATTTCTTGGCTAATAACTACATAGAATTGGTAATTAAATGCGATTTTTGTGGGTAACAAAAAGTATTAATACTAAAAAAGGCCAGCAATTAAATGTGATTTTTGTAGCAATAAAACTGCCAAATCAGAACCGAATTAATAAAAGAGTAATTGAAAAAAACTGATAATTAAAGTCCATTTGTTGGGCAACCCAAAACAAAAGAGGACATTTTCTTAATGAAATTTGGAAAAAAGGAAATTAGATGTGATATCTCTGACAAGAAAAGAAATGTTGCTAATAATTGCAAAAAAGTTATGAATTAAATGCCAGTTGTTGGGTAACAAAAAATGGCGATAAAAAAAAATGGTATTATTTATCAGTTATTAACAATGTATTCTAAAAAGTTGGTAATCAAATATGATTTGTTTGCTAACAAAAAAAAGAACACAAATAAAAATAGGTAAGCAAATAATTATAACAATTAATAGTCGGGAATCAATAATTAAGCATGGTGTGTGGCGTGACCAGGTAAAATCAATTGAAGTGTAAAATTTTCACAATTGAAGGATAACAAAAGCAATTTTAAAAAAAGATAATATATAAGCAATTATTGCAAAAAAAGATAATATATAAGCAATTATTGCAAAAAAAAAATAATTATTAATAAGTGCAATTTATCTGGAAACAAAGGGAAAGTAGTAATAATTGTAAAGAACCGGGATATCAAGTTTTTTGGCAACACAATCTATTGTTGAGAAAGGGAAAAAATGGCATCATTAATAAGTCATTAACAATTAAGAATAAATAATTGGTAATTAAACGTGATTTATTGGTTAAAAAAAGGGAATCCAAATAAAAAGAGATAAATAAATAGTTATAAAAATTAACAACGGAGAATCGATAATCAAATGCGGTGCGCGGCGTGGACAAACGATAAATGACACCAACGGAAGCGCACCACATTGTTGATTGTTTACGTAAAATCGATACCAAATAAACCCCCTCTCATTCTAAAAAAAAAAAAGCATGTGCCAATAATTAATATAAGGCAATTACAAGAAATCGATAAGTAATTGCGATTTAGTTGGAAAGTCCAAATATGTCAATAATTGTAAGAGGGGGATAGCTAAATGCGATTTGTTACGTAATAAGTAAAAATCGAGTTTATTAATCAGTTAACGAACAATTAATTGGAAAGAATTTGATAATTATGTGCGTTTTTTTTAGGAACCACAAAAGGCATTCTTTAGCTAACAATTGGGGAAAATGCTAATTAGATAGTTTAAAAAGAGGGATAATTCCAATTCAATAAGGGAATTATTGGATAATTCTGCCGGGATAATTCTAAACCAACAAGGGAATGAGAGGGGTGTAGCATCCAAAAAAAGGTTATTAACAAGCACTTCCATCCAATTTTAAAAAAAGAAAAGGGAAAAAAAACCAAAGGACGTGGGACCACAATTTTGCGGCAGGCTCCAATGTAGACATCCAAGCAAACAAAGAAAAGAAAGAAACAATCGGCTGGACGGACCAAATTCACGCGAGCGAATTCACACGAGGCAGACGACCACCAATCGGCCAATGGAAGCTCGCCACGTCAGCAATCAGAACTCGATTGAAAAGCTCCCCATTCCCGCATAGACTAGATATGTTGAAAAATAAATTTAAAAAGGAAAAACTTAATATAGATGGGACGTGAAGTATAAATCCATTTTTGTAAACAAAATTCTACCTACTTTATTTGATCAATCTTCCAGATAACCTCCCTGTTAGTAATTCTTTTTATCTTGGAATTTCTCTTTTCATTCTCCACAAGCCTGTTGTTAAGCTAAGAAGACAAATTGCACCTAAGAGAATGTTCAGGTCTGTCGGTTGAATTATTATTTTTAGAAGTTTTTGTGGAAAAATATGTTGTAATAATTTGATATATATAAGATAAAAAGATAATTGAAAAATGTGTTCACGGAAAACGTAAAAAGTTTTCTGCGTAAAACCACAATCCAAACCCTGATTTGTCCATTCAGTACAATATGCACAATGACTGCTCTGCATGAATAATAGCAGTTTGATAATGCTTTTCTTGAATGGAAGATTTCTAGATATAAAGGAGAACATCTAAATGCATTTTTGCAGAAGTTGCATTATCTGCAAGTTAAAAAGACCACTGCAAGTTATAAAGGAGTAAAATCAAGTGCTAAAATGTTACTTATTAAAAAGCAAAAGTATTTTCCATTTGTCTTTCCAGACTCAGAAAGAGTTGTTTCTTTACAAACTGAACTCTAGTTTCACAGACAACAAGAA